TTTCAAAATCTTTTTACTACCCGTAATAATTTATCTAAAGAACCTTATTTTGGGGTCTTTAGACCAATTCCGCTCATCGGCATTAACATGAATTTAGTTAAAATCTTTTAAAAAAGTTCCTTAATTTACTACTGATCCTAGTTCTAATCGGTTCTGACGTATATTAACTATATATATGTGTCAAAACACAATATTTCTATCAATTTTCACAAAAAATACTGGAATTCCGACCAAGACAAAGCTTATTATTATGGAAAATTGCCAATAAACGATCAGAACAAATCATATTGTTAAATTATAATGTTCATTTCAACTAAAAAACGTATTAAAATAAAATCTTATTTAAATTCGGACGAGCGATTGTGATTTTAAGATTAAATCATCTTAAAATCGCAATCGCAAAAAAAAAAAAAAGATTCTAATGTCTGGATTTTTTCGCTACAAACATTTATATTTTATGATACCGCAAAATTTATTATTTTAATTTTTTTCATCTTTTCATAATTCACAGACCAAACCATTTAACGGAAATATGTCGTAGTCAACAAAATATCATACAGACGCTGTAATATTTTAAAAGTGCCTTAACTACACCGAGCAGTAAAATTTTATTTTTAAAACGCAACTTTTTTCAAAAAGATGTGCATATATTTAGGGTTGGCAGTTATCCGGCTTTTACGAAGTAAAAAAAAAATTTATACACGTTTGGCAAACCTACATATATTTCTAAATATATATACACTGAATTGCAAAGTAGCTTAAACCAAAAGAAATTTGAGACTGTATATATTCTTTTGATATCGAAACTGTAGAGCTTCCTACAACTTTAATCTACAACAATTTAATTTCATATGTGTTTGCTGTTAAGATCAATAACACAACTCAGAAGTTTGTCCCCATATTTAGGATAAGAAGGTTGTCTTTTAAACCTTTGTCAGTGGATTTTGAATATAGCATGTATCAATTCAGTGGTTTGCTCACTGAAAACTCCCAGCCCAGTTTAATTTTAGCAAGTTTCTTATTGTGATAAAAAATGGAATGTGCTTTGGGAGTTGAAATTCCAAAAACTAGATAAGAATTTTGAATTCTGAAATATTTTGACAGAATCCTGCCTCCAAGATCTTTCCAAAACAAGCTTTTTTAACAGATTGAAGATTTCTAAAGCAATCAACAAAAGGCATTGCTTGCAGTGCAACAAATTTTTTTGACAAAGAACGGCACACCAGGCCTCTATGTTATGAAAATACAGTTTTTCAATTTCAGCTTAAGTGAAGATGCTGTAGCAGAAAAAGTTCGTGTTTAAAATTGTTCAAGTTCTTTGCGTCCAGTGCCGGATCAAGGGGAGGGGGGCTAGGGGCTATAGCCCCAGGCCCCGCAAATTTAGGGGCCCCCAAAAATTTTAGAGGACCTTTTTTTTGATTCATTTTTAGGTTCTGGCCCATAAAAAAGCCTCCAAAAACATTAATAGCCCCGGGCCCCAAGAAGTCTTAATCCGCCAATGTTTGCGTCCACCGCATTTTGGGTTAAAGAATTCCATAACCTTACAATTAGTGCATCCAATACCGGTAGTACCGATACAGGAATATCGGTATTACTGGACTTTTTAAAGTACCGAAATACCGGTATTGGGTTAGTCTAATATCGGTATTAAACTTCCAGGCGCAATTAGCAACGTTCGTTCAGCTTGTAATAAAATTATGAAATCACGCTCGCTCAAGAGTTTGGGAGAAGAAAGTGATAAGTTGATTTTTTATCTAAAATTATTGATAAAAAACTTTAATTAAAGATAAAACTTGTTTAATTTAAAATTAAAATTATGTCTTCTATTAAAAGAGATTTTATTATATATTATTTTTATTATATATTATTTTTATTATATTTTATTTTATTATATATTAGCATTATGTCACTCGCTGAGCACGTGTTTGTGTTTTGCACTAACGCAATGAATAAGAAGTTTGAAGTCGTTACCGCTGATTTCTATAATGGAAATTCCATTATAGAAATCAACCGTTATTCCATTCCATTCCAGGAATGTCTACTATTTTAACCATGCGCACGTGGATACGCTATGTGAATAGGAAATATAAAAAACTAATGCTAACTCAATGCAAATAGAAAATTACTTTAAGAAAATTGAAAATTCAGATTAATTTTATTTAAAAAAAAATTGTGCGCTTTTAATTAAGAACTAATAATCAATACTTTATGTCTGATGAATTCATTTACTTTAAAGTCCAGAAACACATGAAATGTCCCAAAAGGTATTCAAAGAGTTCAGTACCGGCGTACGAGTTGACGAAAATTCTGTGTGGTTTTATTTTCTATGTGATAAAGAAAATCAACTTGCAAAGTGTAAAAAAAGCAGCAAAGAGATAAAATCAAATGGTGGCTGTACTAGTGGACTGCATACCCATCTCAGAACTAACCATAAAATTGACTTACTGAAGAGAAAATTAGTCCAAGATCCAGTATCGACATCGGTTTTGTTTTCATTGGCACCGTTGCCAACGGCCAAAAAACCCAAACCTCAGATCACCGACTTTTTACAAAATCAAAACGACAGTTTCTTGCCTGCAGTTTTTTCTAGATTGACTGTCCTTGATCAGTTTTTTCTAGATTGACTGTCCTTTTAGCGTATTTGTCACGTCAGCAGAGCTGAAAACATCGCTACAAGTTCGTGGGTTTGTTGTTCCAAATTCGGCGACGACAATTCAAAATATGGTAGTAAAATACGCAGACACAATCAAAGAAACTGTAATATTTAAGTTTAATAACCTTCGATCACAAGGGATGCAATTCAGTTTGACATTTGACGAATGGACATCAATTTAAAATCGCAGATATTTAAATGTAAACGTTCACACCGAGGACGAACTTTGGAGCCTTGGATTTGCTAGAGTTGTTGGTTCACTGCCTGCAGAAAAATGCATTAATTTAGTTTAAAAAGTGTTGACACAGTTTATGCTGAACTATGATAAAGACATTGTGTGTATTACTACTGATGGAGTTTTCGTAATTCAGAAAGTGAGACGTTTGAGTAATTGTGAACAACAGTTGTGCATTGTGCATGGCATTCAACTGGGTGTTCAAGAAATTTTATTAGCACTGACGATGACACAAACAAAAGCAATGACAATAAAGAAGACTTTTCCGGCGGGTTTCAAGTTGTAATGAGTGAAAAATATGATCCTATTGAACTGATTGATGATCTGCAGCCGTTATCACTAAGGTACCAAATTCCTCTAGTGTGTAAAAATACACAGTAGAGGAATTTGGTAAAGGTCTTCCATTGATACTTGACTCCAAAACTCGCTGGAGTAGCTTACACACCATGCTCGAACGTTTTGTGAAATTGAAAAACTGCAATCGCAAGTTGCTGATTGACCTTAAATCCAAAATTGGAATAACTGATAAGGAGTTCAATTCAATTTTAGATGTTGTTTAATGTCTTGCGCCAGTAAAATTGGCTGTGGAAGCATTGTGTCGAAATGATGCAACACTATTATTAGCCGATACAACACTAATGTTTATGATAAATAACCCGACGGGCATTTGTTTATTAAAGTTACGTTCTAAATGTGTTTTAAATGTCTTTTAAACGTCTTTTAAACATGTTTATGATAAATAACCCGACGGGCATTTGTAATGTTTTACAAAAAAATGCCCGTCGGGATTGGAGACACAGATTTAGCTGTTAAGTTAAAAGCTACTTTAGTGCGACGAATCAATGAGCGATGTACACTTTTTTCCAGCTTACTGCACTATCTGCACAAAGGCCATCAACGTTACGAAAACTTGGATCAGCTATTGTAAATACCATTGCTCGACTGAATGATCGGCTTAGTCAGCGAGCTTATAATCCTTCCACCAGTGTATCTTCTGATAGCGATTCTGTTGACAACACTGAAAACTTGTCATTAAAAGAAAAGCTTGACATGGCAATTTTGAGTAATAAGAAATGTAACAACAAGAAAAGATTGAACGTTTCGAATAACTTATCAAAAACCATACGCAATGAGATGGTAGTTTTCGAAGATCGAAAAACTCGCGGTGTATATTTGCAAAATTCATATGAATACTTGAAAACTGTAAAGCCAACAAGTGTCGAATTGGAGCGTGGATTTTCAGCAAGTGGCAACATTGTCACAAAATTATGATCATCTCTTAAAGATGATACTCTGAATGCTTCTTACGGGCATACTTTACAAAAGAGAAAAAAGTGAAAAATGAAAAATTTGTAATTTTGATATAAAATGAAATAGCATGTTGAGTCAAAGAAGTTTTACTATTTATTTGAGATTTTATTCATATTATGATTAATTAAAATAATAATAAATAATACCGGTATTATACCGGTATTACCGGTATTGAAATAATTCAGTACCGAAATACCGGTATTGAAAAATGTTATCGGTATTGGATGCACTACTTACAACACAGTTGGTGAAAAAGTTGCTTTTTTCAGCGCAGCTTCGGACAAGTTAAGCTCTTAGTTCTTCAGTGTGTCCACGCGGCCGAAAACTGTACTTTGAAGATTCCGTGTCAGGTTGAAGTTGAGGGACGTGAAAGTTAATATACGTAAGTAAATGTATGTAACATATATAATAAAAGTCACATAAAAATACTTATAAAGTGTTTTAGTCATAAAAATAATTTCTGGGGTTTAAATACCACACCCAACACGGGTGTCGCCTATTCATTGACTTGCCCCCCCCCCCGACACTAAACCTTAATCCTCCACTGATAATTATTAAACCAATTGTATTTTTATTTTTATTATTACATTTACACGTATGATATATTTTATATGGTTCTGGCGACAAGATAATTTGGATCTTCTTTCATATACCAAGTTTATATATTGTTATATTTTTATATTACGATTAATAATTGTAAACTAAAAAATTAAAAAAAATTAAAAAAAAAAATTAAAAAATATTATTTTACGACGGCAAATTATCAACTCCGTTGCAACGGAATTGTCAACTCTTGTAAAAGCGGCTAACGTCGTATGCCCGCAACACTAGACGGTAGTCTAGAAAGCATGTTATAAGTTAAACTTGTTGATTTTTTTGTAACAAATTCAACTAAAATACGATTTTATCTCCCATTTTATATAAAGCATTATTATTTCAGCACCTCTATTACTATAAAAAAAAAAAAAAATGAAACGAATTTATCGTCGTATGCTTTACTTTGTTGTTGTTGTTGTATTAATACTAGTTGTATGGCATCAAGGATCTTTTAAAAATGATAAGTACAAGAAGTATTATCCGAATATCAATTTTTCCTCTATCATAACTCCTCACGAACTATTTGAAACTTCAATTGTTGAAAGTAAAAGAGAATCAAAAGTTATACTTCTTTTTACAACACATTTTTACAGTAAAGTTTGGAAAGGTCTTGATGTGCTGAACGGATACACACAACGTCAAAAGTGCAAAGTTAAAGAATGTGTTATTACCTATGATAAAAATGCTATTAAAAAGGCTGATTTAGTTGTTTTTCATGGAGTTGATTTTACATATAAAAACTTTACATCGAAACATTTTCAAGCAATTTCAAAGTTGAGGCCAGTTAACCAAAGATGGGTATTTTGGATGCATGAGACACCATTATACTATCCTCTTCTAGACGATTATGATAACTTGTTTAATTGGACAATGACATTCAGTCAACACTCAGATATATATCACCCTTATTTTTCATATGCAAGATTAACAAATGCTGATCGTGAAAACATGCCTGAAAATGATTTTAACTATGCAAGTTATAAACAAAAAAAAGTCGTTTGGATGGTTAGTCATTGTGGAATGACACGTGCTAATTATGTTGCAGAACTGCAAAAATACACTGATATTACTGTGTATGGTTTATGTGGTGCAGATTTTGATAAAATGGGTGGAATATGTTCTTATAATGAAAAAGAATGCGAGCTAGAATTACGCCAATATAAATTTTATTTGTCATTTGAAAATAGTTTTTGTGAAGATTATGTGACAGAAAAATATTTTAAATATGGTTTGCAATATGGTTTATTGCCAATTGTAATGGGTGCAAAGTACGATGACATGAATTCTATTTCGGGCTCATATATTGATGTATCAAAATTTTCTTCAATAAAAGAGCTTGGTGATTATATTAATTACTTAGATTCTGATGACTCAGCATATAATAAATATTTTGAATGGAAAAAACATTTTAAAGTTACTGATGGAATAGATAAGATATGCATGCTTTGTCATGCTCTTCATAGAAAAGATCAGCATGAAAAAACATACAAACAGTTTCACTCATTTTGGAGTGTTCAAAATTTATGTAATCCCTTCGAAAAGGTGAGAAATAGTCTGGAACAACAAATTGCTTTATCTAAACTTGAGAATAAAAAAATAACAAAATCGAAAAATATTGACAAAAATTAATTTATAAAATTCTAAGCTGAATACACATATCTGTATATTTATGTTTCTCTATAACATTTTTATGTCATTTTTTTTTTAGCGTTTTTTTATTTAAAAAATATTTGTTATATAGCACTATATTTATATATACTTTTTAGATTTGAATATATCTATTTATTAGACTTAAAATTAAAAAATTTAAAGAAAAAATATTTTGACTTTGATTTTAAAAATTTAATTTAGAAGATACATAAAGAAAAATTTACTGCTTATTGAATATATTGTAAAACAATTGCATTGACTGAGTGAATATTTTATAATTATTTAATATAATTATAAGATATTTATTTTAATGTTAAAATAACATGAATTTTTAAAATGTTATTTCACTAGTTAAAATTGGATGGTTTTATTTGCTTTATTTGAGGTAGGTTAAAAAATGACTTCAAAGAGTGACAATGAAAATTGGAGAAAGCAAGAGTCATCTAATAGTTTTCAGTTTCAAGAGGTTTCTGATAATTTTCCTTGTATAATACCAGCCTCTCCAAATTGGTATTGTAGTAATATTATGACATGCATGAATGGCTATATAGCTTTTGGTGGGAAATGGGCTGTTTATTTATTGAATTTACGAAAAAATCCTCCTGTTTGTGAAGAATATCTATTTGGAAGTCCAGGGTACAGCTGTAAAGTTACAGCTGTTGCGTTTTGTCAGTTTGACAAAAACATAAGTTTATCTGTTCTTCCAAGTCACTGTGCATTTGGAATGGAAGATGGGCTTGTTAAATTAATAATTTGTGAAACTAAATCAATGCTTAAAGAACATCGTAAGCACCAGGTAATATTTAACCTTGTTTAATAATGTTTGTCAGACATGTAGTTCATAAAAATCAAATCAAAAATAATTTTTAATTCATTTCAGTATATGCTAAATATAATATGTTATATATATTTACAACCCTCGGAATAAGAAAAAAATGAGGTCGACAATAAATTACCAACCTCAATCTTATAGGTTGGTAAAAAAAATTTGACACAAACGGGTTACCACAAAACATAAAAACATGGTTGGCGATTTTTTCCCAACCTTGAACACTTTGAGGTTGGCAGTTAGGTTTGTATTGCCAAATGCTGACCCTAATTCTAAGGACTGTATTTATACAAATATACATAGTATACACTTTTATACATTTTTAAATCAGTTTGTATATAAAAGTTATTGTAATTTTTTCCCATAAATGAAATTTTACAATAAAATCAAAAGTAAAGTAAAAAAAAAAAATAATAATAAAGAAAGAAAGCAGTTTTGCCACAAGGATATTTTGTTGTATTTGGCTATTGATGAGATATTTAAACTGCCTAATGATCATTGTTATGATTTCCATTTTGTTCCTTTGATTTCAATTGTGATGCTAGTAAAGTAGGTTTAGTATCATTGCTTGTTATATTCAAGTTATGGCTTTTAAAAAAAGTATAGTTGTTATAAATGTATTGTTATATATTCAAAATATTTTAAAATTTTGTTTTTATAGGTAAAGATTACTGCTATTTCATGGTCTCCATTAGATAATAATGTTATTATTACAGGCAAGCAAAGTTTTATGTTTTAGCTTTTATATTAATGTATTTTTAGAGCATTTATATTAGGGTTATGACTTTTTGGTATCTTTTAGGCATTTCTAGTTTCCTGTATAAAAATAGATGAACTATTTTGAATTGGTTTAGTGTTACTAAAAAACTATTGGTATAATTTAATTATTGAAAAAGGTCACCCACTATGACCCTTGATTACTTGCTAAATTCTATTTACATGTGAAGTTATTTCCTCAAAAAGTATGTCAATGTGGGTCTTGAAAGAACCAGAGTTTTTTTCATTAAAAAGATTTTAAAATTTAAGTTTTTTTATAACAACATTGTTAAAAAAAAATTATTGTAACAAAATGTTATAAAAAATGAATATACCAATTTTTGTTTGAAAATGTTATTTTTTTTTGTATATAAATTTTAAGATATTAATATTTTTAATTTAAAGCCATTATTATTTCTAAAATCTCTTTAAGTTTCTAGTTTTTTTGAGATTTAAGTTGATATACTTTAGTAGGAAAAAAATATCAGTGACATATGGAACCCAGCAAGTAATTAAAGGTCATGGTGGGTAAACCTTTTCAAAAAGTGATTAAAATCAATGAGCTTTTAAACTAAAGTTTATCTATTTTTTATACAGTAATATATGCATATATGTCACAACCAAAACAAGCGTTTTGTATATATATATATATATATATATATATATATATATATATATATATATATATATATATATATATATATATATATATATATATATATATATACATATGCAAGCAATTTTAAATGCATTCTACTAAATAGTGCTTGATGTTCTTAAAAGAACAGAGAAGTAATACTACTACAGTAGAATCTCATTAACTTGAACTATTCTCCCACTTAGCAAATGTCCAAATTAGGCGAAACTCTTATTATGTTGGACTTTTTGAAAATGTCAGACTTATCAAGACTATATTGTGTATATCAAGATTATTTATGATATATTATGTTTATTTCTTTTTACTATCCAGACAATGTTTGTTTTAGAAATTATATTTGTCTGTTATAGTTCTTGCTTGTTGGCTTTTTTTAGCAACCTTTAACATTTTTAATAAATTTAATCAAAGATATCAGTTAAAATGTTTTTTGTAAAATTATATTTGACACAAAGGTGTTTAATTTTAAAACGTTCTAAGTTTTAAAGTCTTTTTTTAAACATCTTTACCTCGAACAAACCTGCACGCAACTGTTATTAGAGTTGGAAGTTACTAGAAAAGAAAAGATGAGTTTTATAGAGCAAGAAAACGATTGACAGACGACTTAAAATATTGCAAATTATATAAATCAGGAAAAAAACTAGACAAATATAAATTTTTGGAGCACTTAGGAACAGTCACAATAAAAAAATGAGACTTAATTGAATGACGAATAACATGATAATGAAAGTTGGTAGATGGCACAAGAGATGCTAGCTCTTTAGAGCAGTGCCCATTATATATTTATAGAAAAGAGAAAGAGATGCAACATGATGATGTGATAATGGCTGGAGTTTGGCTGCAAGAGCAGGTCCAACTATGTTTACAATGCATTTTTGCACCTTGTCTAAAAGAGAAAGGGCATCATTGGAAGATCAGCCCCAGATATGGCAACAGTATTCCATACAAGGGCGGATTTGAGATTTATAGAGATTGATTTTCAAATGGTAGTATCAAACAATGCCACCTTAGATGTGAAAATTTATAAGAGATCGTTAATGTAAATTTAATGTAAAAAAACTATAGGGCCAAGGATAGAACCTTGAGGTACTCCTGAAGTTTTAGGAAATGAAAAAGAGTGCTGTCCATTATGTATAACTTTTATACTACGATTGGTAAGGAAGGTTTCAATAATCTTAAAGATGTTACCGGTTACACCATAAGAAGAGAACTTATGGAAAAAACCAGCATGCCAAACTTTATCAAAAGCTTTAGAAATGTTGAAAGCAATAGCCTTAGCCTCTCCACATCTATCTAATAATGTTAAAACCTATCAGTTATTACTGTTAACAAATCAGCAGTTCAACAAAAAGATCGAAATGCATATTAATGATCAGAAAGCAGGGCTGTGGAGTCAGAGTTGCGACATTTTTAGCAGAGTCAGAGTTGGAGTTGGAGTCGCTAAACAAAATCGCGACTCTGACTCCAATAGTAAAACTTCTTGGTATTGATGAATGTATAAAACATTCAATTAACCTTATATTTATACTAAACCTCAAAGAACATTTTATAAATTTGTCAAAAAACTTTTTTTTAAATTATCGCATAATATTTTTTAAGTCGGAGTTGTTACTTTTTTTTTACGACTCCACGCCCCTGTCAGAAAGTAAGTTAGAAGATGAGTGATGTTTAAGTAAAGACTCAAAAACCTTACTTATGGTATTTAGAAGACTAATGAGAAAGGATTTAGATAAGTTAGATTGCTCTACAAAATTTTTGAAATAAGGATAGCAGATGTCGCTTTCCAGCAGGCTGGAAAACAAGACTCTGATAAGCACTTGTTAAATAGTTTTGACAGTATAGATGACAGCTCCAGAAAACACTTCTGCATGATTAATACAGGTATGTTGTCCGGACCACAAGCTGTAGAAATCACTTTAGATACAGAAGCTGGAGTGACATGAAAATCAGGCAATGGATAACCTATTTTTCAGTAATATCAGGTAGAACACAACTAGTGGAATCAAGAGATCAGATTGATGAGAACTTAGCAAACAATTCAGCTTTGTTTTTAGTTGAGATAACAAAATCTGAACCATACAAGAGAGGTGGAATAACAGATTTACCTTAGTTATAGATACTGTTAAAGATTCTCCAGAAGTCATGAGAGCCTAATTTTTGAGATGAAATACAAGACTTTGTGACCTGAAAATAGCAGGCTTTGGCATTAGACAAACTCTTTTTACAATGGTTTCTAGCAGTAGTAAACAGACATCTGTTTTCTGGAGGTTTGTTTTGCTGATAGATATGAAAGTAATGGTTACGATTCAAAATTGCAGCAACACAATGAGAGCAGTACATTTGATGTTTATATAATAGTCATTAATAAATAGAATTTCTTTGGGCTTAACCGAATTAAAGATATCAGTGAAAATGTTTAGTTATATTTTATTATGTTTAATGCAAAGATATTTTGTTTTTTTTCGATATTTTATTTTTGAGAACTTTTATTCAAGAATTGAAAGTTTTCTAATTATATTCACTTAGATTAAGTTCAAAATAAAATTCCTAGTTAAGCAAATTTTTTTGCCAAAGGGGCAACAAGAAACAGTATGAGTTTAGAAAGTTTGTTGTCTAACAAAAATTGTGGATTTTAAGTCTAGCATTTCAATTCATATGCCACTGCAAGTTACTCAAAGTAAAAAAGGGTGTAGATTTTCAAAATTAACTTTAATACTGCAGTTAGAAAGAAATGATTTAATTATCTCAAAAACTTTAAATTAAAGAAACTAATTGAAGACTAATTATTGAATAGTTGGAGAAGTCAAAGTGTTTTCTACAGTTTTTAAAAATTGGAACCACTTCTTTAGCACTTTTTATTAGTTTAGGAAGTATTGAAGAGAGTTCTGGTGAAAATTTTTTTAAGACTATGATAAAAAGCTTGTCTGAACACAAAACTATAGAAGTGTTTAATTAAGAACTAACTTTAGCATCGGAAGCAAGAGTGATTTGGATGTTTAACATTCGGTTAATCTGTTTAACTGGTATGACAGGAAGAATATGACCATTAGATTCAAGAGTCAAATTAGAGGAAAAGTTCTTTCCAAATAACTCTATTTAATATATAAATAAACCCTATTTTTGGGAGAAGTAAAAAGATCAGACCCATGAATTAGAGATTAAATGTTCAACTTACTTTAGTTAATGACCCTGTTGAAGACTTACCAAAAGTCTCAAGTTCCCCTTTGAGTTAAGAAACAAGATTTAGTAAACTGAGAATAACAGAGCTTAACATTAGACAGGACTTTTTTACATTGACTTCTTGCAATAATAAAAGCACAATTGAACTTAAGAGAAATGTTCTTGTAAAAAAGATATAAAAAAAAAGGATTATTGTTTAATAAAGCAACTGCTCAAGATAATGAAAAATGTGAAGTAGAATAAGGCTTGACTTAAATTTGAAGAGAAGTAATAACAGCTTTCAAACTTTTATTCCAGAAGGAATAAAAGCTTCCAAGATGAATTATATCCATACACTGTATTTACGCATACATAATATGGATGTAAATATTTATGTTTGCTATTTATTTAGATGCTGACATACAATATCCTTACATTTTTATATTAACTTTAGTATTTATATGGTGTAATATCTGCTGAAAGAAAAGATTATCAGATAGATGTGTGGTGTGACTCTAATAATACAATAAATCGAGACAGATTTGAAAAGAACATTTTAATGAGAAATGTTTGTTATAGGAGATTAAAGTGATTTAGGTATCAGCATGTAAAGAGGTAGCAGCTTCAGGAGGAAAATGGTAGTGGTAGAAGTAAACTTGAAGCATGTCTTTCATATTGTATGAGTGATCTTTAGTTAAAGAAAATGCTCTAGATTGTTTCTATTAGAGAAACAGCATAAACAAGGAATGATAAAGCCTGATGATGATGGTGATGATGATAATGATGATGATCATGATGGTAATGATGGTTATGATGATCATGTTGATAATAATGATGTTTATGCATTCATATATACAAAATATAACATGAATTTTGAATAAAATTTATTTTAGCATGTATAAATATGTATGCAGCCTCGGTCACAAATTCAACCCCAGCCCTGGCTATATTTTATCAAACTTGGCCCTGGCCCTGGTCAAATTTTAACCCAGATTGCTAACTGGTTTGAAATAACTAGGGTACGACTTATGCAGATGATTTTATAGGAAGATATAGAAAGTTCAAGGGGAGTTGAAAATCTGTTTGACAACCCGGGGTTCGAGTTAACAGGATTTTACTGTACTAATTTATATACATACAGGGCTC